TGGGAACTCTCTCTGTTTTCCCCTCAATTTTGCTGGGAAGCTAAAACTGCTTTAAAAATAAAGTCTGTTAAATTCTTTCACCCTTCTTTTCTCAAATTGTCTTACGAAGAAAGACTCTAATTGTTGGCATCTGTGATAATCATTGATGCTACTTGTATTTTGGGTATGCCCCTACCCAAGCACATGCGAGGATGATACTTCCTCACCCCCTTGACTTTGGGTGTGGCCATGTTACTTGCTGTGGGAAATGAAGTGTGACGCCTGTCACTTCTGGGTTAAAGTCTTCAAGAGCTAGTGTACAATTTTCCATGTTTCTTCTTCCCACAGCGATGAATGGGGATGTTCCTTATGGTGGAGGCTGTCAACCTGGATCTCCAAGTAAAGACTTTATGGAGCATAGCCCTTCATTAAATGGACATGTGTGTGTTAAGCCCCTGAGATGGGAGGGTTGTTACTGGAGCATAACCTAGCCTACCCTGACCAGTACAGTACAGATAAGGTGACTTTAGTAGATAGGGGAAACTGAATTTCAATCTCTCATTTTAATAAATTAATGTTTATTTAAAAATAAAAGTAAACAAATTTTGGCTTGTATTTTCATATGTAAAATGATTCTAGCAATTATGTTCAGTTTCTTTCTTTCTTTCTTTTTTTTTTTTTTAAAAAAGATGACTGGTAAGGGGATCTTAACCCTTGACTTGGTGTTGTCAGCACCACGCTCAGCCAGTGAGTGAACCGGCCATCCCTATGTGGGATCCGAACCTGGGGCCTTGGTACTACCAGCACCGCACTCTACCGAGTGAGCCACGGGCCGGCCCACTTTCTTTCTTTTTTAAAAAGATTACTGGTAAGGGGATCTTAACCCTTGACTTGGTGTTGTCAGCACCACGCTCTCTCAAGTGAGCTAACTGGCTATCCCTATATAGGGATCTGAACCCACAGCCTTGGTGTTGTTAGAAGCACCACACTCTCCCAAATGAGCCAGGGGCGGGCCCATATGTTCAGTTTCTAAAATTTTCAAAAGCCGTTGCTTTTGACTTCTACATATATTTCACAAAACTTTTTGGTGGCAGGATTAGGAGGAGGTGTTGGTGAAATAATCCATGTAAAAATATGTTTGTTACATAATTCAGGGAAGGAATGTGGAAAGTGTAACAGAATTGCAGTGGGTGGAACTATTTCAGCTCTGCTGATGTGAAAGAATATTTCTTATGTAAATATAAAAGTGGCTAAATGGCTTGAGAAAATATTTTTTCAGATTGGTTAACCATAGGCAAAATGGTAAACTGTTTTTCCTTAGTACCCCAACTTCCCTGATTTTCTACCTGCAATTCCTTTCCTTTCTTTTAATTATTTTGCAAGAGCATCACCCTATATGAATATGTTCATATTTTCAACACTTTAATCCACTAGAAGCATAAGGTCGTGGGCTGTAACATCTTTCTCCTTTGTATCTTTCCCTTTCCTATCTCTTTTCTCTGCAGCCCTGGTCCTTACATTTTTCTCAACCAAATCTTTTGTCCCCCACAACCCCCATCCCCAATCTTTCTTCTGTTTTTGGAAAAGGATGGAGAGAGGTAAAGGGGGGAATAGAAATGAATGCCTATGAGAGAAGTAGGTCAAACTGGGAGTAGATTTGATCAGATCTTAGCATATTCTAAATATAGGACATCTGATCCATAAAAGAAATAGAAAATATTCATGAATTAACGTTTCTTTCTTTATTGGTTCTTCTATCTACCTTCTTCCTTTAGGATAGGAAAAATAAATAGGAAAATTTAAAGGAAACAGCAAAACTGAAAGGTGGATAAACAGTTCTGATGAATTTATTGCATTATATTTGCTCTTACTTTTTTGGATTTCAAAATCCTTGAAATCCAATGGCCTTATTTTTGCTATGAATAAATATACAGTGTTTAACACTTTCTGGATACTTTTTTTTGAACTAACTTATTCAGAGCTATATGACTACATTTTGTGTTGTCTTTTTAAATTCTTTCGGTCTTGGGCCGGCCCGTGGCTCACTCGGGAGAGTGTGGTGCTGACAACACCAAGGCCACGGGTTCAGATCCCATATAGGGATGGCTGGTTTGCTCACTGGGTGAGCGTGGTGCTCACAACACCAAGTCAAGGGTTAAGATCCCCTTACTGGTCATCTTTTTAAAAAAAAAAATAAATAAATAAATAAATTCTTTCGGTCTAACAGACTATGCAAATACCTTTCTCCATTAGGTTCTTCCACTAACCATTTAATTTGTGTTACTCTTGGCTTCCCCAAAAGACAGCTCCTTGAGGCCCTTGAGTCTTGAATATACTTCTGCTAGTCACAGTATTTTTTTCCTGCCTGAGAGACTTGACTTTCAAAAAAAGAAGGTTTTTTTTGCTGATTACATTTTACCTGTTCTTCAAGGTATGACTTAAGTCCTATTTCTTCTATTACATATTAAGAATTTCTCTAGTTACTTCCAAATGGTGCACTACACAACTGCACATGTGTGATAGGATGAATAATGGCCTCCCAAAGATGTCCACGTTCAACTTCCTGGAATCTGTGAATGCTTCTTTATGTGGCAAAAGATACTTTGCATATGTGATTAAATTAAGGACCTGTGATGGGGAGATTATCCTGGATTATGAAGACAGACTCAATATAATCACAAGAGCCCTTAGGAAGCAGGAGGATCAGAGTAGGAAAGTGGTATGACAACAGAAGCAGGGAGAGAGAAAAGGCCATGTGATGTGGGGCCATGAGCCAAAGAACCTGCAGCTTCTGGAAGCTGGAAAAGGCAAATTCTAGAGAAGCTGATTCTTCCCTAGAGCCTTCAGAAGTAAGTAGACCTGCTCACACCTTGATTTTAGCCCAAAGACTAATTTCAGAGTTTGAGCCTCCCTAACTATAAGATAACAAATTTGTGTTGCTTTAAGTTACCAAGTTTGTGGTAATTTGTTACAGTAGCCACAGGAAACTAACATGACATCATTATGTCCTTTACATTCCACGAATTATTATATTATTATTATAGGTCCATTCCACTAATTAGTCCACTAATAATCGAGCACTTTACTGTCATGCTCACTAATTATACTATGAATATAAATGGTAGAATATAAATTCCTGTTGGACAAGAACCAGGATTTTTACTTTTTTAAAAATCCCCTACAGTGCCTAGCTCAGTCTTAGGAACTCAGATGTTTGGAGTGGATCATGTGACTCTGGTGCATAAAAGGGAATGGGGAAACGAAGGGCACTTTGAGAGACATATAACTCAACAAACTTGTTTAGTTGCTTGCAGTCAAATTCTAACATTTTGTTTTTGAGCTCTGTGTCACATGCAGTATTATGTTAGGTGCATAGTAGCTGTTTAATGGCATAGAGGGTACTCAGCAAGCACTTGATACATTGAGTTGAAATATGTGGGAGTAAAGAAAGAAAAGGAGAAAGAAAAGCAAGATGGGTCTGGTAGAAAGTACTTGTCTATTGAGCTGATCAGTTTTTGTCATATTAAGTAAAGTTAAAATGCTGAAAAAGAACATTCATCCAATTTCTAACATGAATTTTTCCTTAAAAGCAAAATGGAAAAGATGATAAAAATAGGCAGGACATAATAGTTTAATTTAATCCATTAAATTCAAATAACAAGTATTTTTCCAATCCATGTAATATGCCTAATACTGTGCTAAGTGATAAAGAGGTTACAGACAACCTGAAGGACTTGGGTCTATTGTAAAGGGCCTTAACTATTTGGGAGATAATATTAACTAAGGTGACCAGGCAGTTTATTAAGTGCCATATTGTGTATTCAGACTTCTGAGATTATAGATATTTGGAATTAGGGGACAGAGAATTAATACTTCATTCATTTACCGAATATTTGAGAGCCTATTCTAGTTCTCTGTGAATAGGAGTTTCTGTTTGGAGTTTGCAATCTAGAAGAAGAAGACAAGGGAAATAAGTGACAAATATAAGACTGTATTTTAAAGTCAGGTAATTAGCAACCTTAATTCCCTCTGCAATCTTGATTATCCTTTGTTATGCAACCTAACATATTCACAGGTTCTGGGTATTTAGCTGTGCACATCTTTGAGAAGCCATTATTCTGCCTACTACAGTTAGAAAGTATGAACTAATCTTGAGAGGAAAAGAGGCCAAAAGAGAAAGGGGTGTAAATGCTTTGATAAGAGTAATGCGGAGCCGGTGCAAGTTTCTGAGACTTGACGTAAGTTCTCATTTTTTTGAAGGCAGCTTTGGCTGCGGGATGCAAGTTCTGAGGCTTAACATAAATTCTCATTTTTTAAAAGACAGCTTTGGCTGCAGCATAGGAAAACTGTTTGAACAGGTAAAACTTAGGAGAAACATTAGGAAGACACCAGTACAGTCGAGATGAGAGGGTCAAAGGTGAAGACATAGCTGATCGTTCATTAAGTCTCAGGCTGTCTCTGCCCATTTCTAAGTGTTTTCCATGAAAATTCATGACATCACCCCACAGGATCTCAACAAGTGCAGTTTCCGATAATTTGGCCGAATTTGTTCAGCAGATGCTGCAACAGAGGCCTTAAATCATTCATCTACAATGAAGCAGGGGAGCCCGGAATCGTGGCAAACATCCAATTAGTAAGACAGAAGCTCACAAAGCTAAACACCGAATTTCTTA